ATACACATAATTAACTTGGCGAGAAACTGTTATCATACTCTAATGATGTAATTGAGTTATCATAATATGAAATGTGGTTTAGTGAAWGGGCATAACTGGTATAATAGAGATCCAAAATATCATACAGGAGTAACATTTTTCCCACAAAATATTTTCAATTGAGTTTAGTAGTTTTATATACTTGAGTGTTTAATTCGGTTTTGAAATGATTTAAAAATGTATTAATGGTTCTCACTAACTGGTCCATAAAAAATAAGTTCTGGAATCTGCCCCCCTTGAACTCCAGTACCATTAGTACTTTCTGAAGAACATTGGAATTGAAACGTCACACAACCAGCATTTATTTCACTAAGTCCTTCTTGGCCAAAGTAACTTAATTCTGCACCATCTAATATAGCTGAAGCAGTATAAAACAATTCGGGATCTACTTGTACAGGATGTGCAAAATAAACATGAAACGTGTTACTTGAACCATCTGAAAAGAATTTTGTGTTGTTTTCAGCTAAAATACGGCCTAGACGTTTGAGTTCAATTTTAACTGTATAATCGGATGCTCCAGTTGACGAACCATATAAACCGAAACCAACAATGAACACACGTCGATCAACACTAAATTGAATGCTATCACAACGACCTCGATACCGCCACTGATTGCTACGATAAGCACAGGACTGAAATCGATGGCACGTCTGAGGTTTTAATCCAATACGTGGTTTAGTTGGATAAGTCAAACGAGGTTTGTTGGATGCAGTGTAATGGAGAAACAAATCAACAGTTTCTTCTAATGTTAACATGCCCATTTGAGCAGGTCCGTTAGCAAATTCTTCCAAGGACATTGCTGGCAATCTGAGTAAATACAGAGCAGAATCTAAAACTTGTCGTTTATTAGATGGGGTTGGTTCTATTTCACGTCTGCTACATTCAGCTGATGCCCAATTCATGGCTGCTTCCCATAGTATGGTTTCTTTGCAATTAATGGTTTCACGTCCTAATACACTCTGCAATGTATCAGCATCAATGTCAACAAAGCCATCTGAATGTAATGCAATCTCTGCCTACATTACAAAAATAAAAAAAGAATAGGTATTAAGATTTAAAATTGAAAAGTTGATTAGTGAATTTTTTTGTTTAGTTACTTGTGCATCAATCACTTCCCAACATCTCTGCATCAATTCTGGCTCTTCGAATAAYCGTGATTGGCTGAGGAGCAGACATGCATTTTTTGCAGTTAGGCTTGTTTCCAAATAATTAACACAAGCCCTGGCTAAATGTGGTACAATATATTTTTTAGCCACATACAATGTAGCTAAAACTGTGTCAGGTTCCAATTGGATTTCATCACAGTATAAATACCTAGATAAACAAACAAAATTTACAGTTTTAGAATAAAAATATTAACAAATAAGTAATAGTAATAAAACAAACCTAAGTAAAGTGAGAAAAGCTGTTGGCTCAACGTCAGGCACCTCAATTTCTTCCTTAGTATCTGCTAAGCCACCATAGAACATGGCATAGAAAACAGAACTTCCAGTGGCTAAAATGTACTTGTGAGATGGTATACGTTGGGTGTGTCCTAAAAGAAAATAACAATAATAGACGTATAACAGTGTTATGGGAATGTATATGTACAATGAGACGCTAACCTGGATTGCCCACAACAAAGTATATATCAGCCATGAGATCGTTATTGAACATGGCAGCATTACGTTCGCGTACTGTGGACTTGATGGCCTGCCAGTTGGGATCTAGAGTGATGTTGGAGAGATCTGATAACAGCTGAGAGACTGGAGAACCGACTGGCGATGCTGGCACACTGGCCGGCTGAGTGACAGGCAAGTAGCTGGAACTCTCTCTCTGGGACACAGTGGAACCAGACTGAGGCATTCCATAAGAGTTGACACTCAGCGTATCTGCAACAAGCAACAATAGATAATGTGAGTAATGATATTTTTTTTGTACGTGCGGTTGTTTTGAACGGCCATAGAGGCGGACGTAAACGGTATGATTCATTCATGGGGAAATCACTGTAGGAAAAAGAACCTCAATGACACAATATTATGCAGATCGTAAGGTTAAGACATTTTATTGGCCGTTGAGGTACGCACAAACGTCGTTGTCGATCATTACCATTCTCACCATTAATCCACTGGTTGGCTTGGGATATCTCTTGCAAGGTCATGCGCTTGTTCATGGGTTTGGTGTAAACTAAGCTCACTTTGTTGTAGAAATTCGACATCGCACAACCCCTATAATAGTCACGAATAATAATAATAATAATAATAATACGACGTCAATGGGGCGAGGGCGGACGAGCTCGGCAGCACGATTCGAACCGGCAGAAACGACGTGATTCGTACTCGTGTGATCTACATAATGAACCGCATTTGTTCCGGATCCGGTGGCGGAGATGATGATGATATTATTTTGACGACGACGGCCGTCAAACGTCACGACAGTCGACGGGCATGGACCGCAATCACGAGATACGGACGAACGACGGCGACGGAAACAACAACAACACTGGCCGTCTGGTGGTCGTCGGGCGGCGGCGGGGTCGACGGCTGACGGGGGCCACGGATCTCACGGGGGAGCGGTGACGGTGGTCGGCGGGACAGTAGGTAACGCGAACCACGGTTGTTGAACGAACGCCGACGACGGCGCCGGTTCTGTGACGTCACGACCGACCGTCCGTCCGCTAATGTAGCCGGTGGCGAGGCGCGCGATGACGTCGTCGCGACGTCGCTGCCGGCCGGGCGTGTCGCGCGCTCACCCGTCGCATCTCTACCTAAATGTCGTTATTCTCGTAGCCCAGTTTTGAAATAAGTCTTTTTCGCGTTTGGCGTTTCCCAATCCCACTCGAAACAGTCGAAACACTCGAAACCCGTCATCGGGTGTACTACCTATGTGAAATTATTGCTTCATCATCGTCGGTGATGCTCGCTGTGTTATATTTTGATTGTATAATAACGCATTATTGCCATTATAATAATCCTAATCGGGATTTTATCGAACAACACTAATTGTTATTTCAAAAACTATTAACCTTTTTTTAATTCGTTTAAGTTAGGTAAACCTAACCTAATTGTAAGTCGTTAGAAACATTTTTGAAAAAATTATAGTTTTTTTTAAATATTATTTTTTAAGTTTTTACTTTTTAATGACAACATAATATTATACACTTTTTTTTTTTCAGAATTATTTTTGGAGTGTTTCGGTGTATATGATAATACAATTTTAGGGTCAGTAGTTAAATATTTAAATTTTAAATTCTATAATCTATAAGTAGATAATAATATTTGTAAATATTTTAAATCTTGATGAGCTGAGTAGTGGACTAACATTTTTGGGCGGTAGTGGGCAGTGGATATCAATTACCAGATTTTCAGAAACGTTTAAAGCTTTTGAAACAATTAATTTTTTAATTTTTTACGTTAAATGGATTACCAGATATAATATGAATATGCGACGTGTGTGTAAAAAACAGCCAATACGCAGTTTCGGTGTGTCCACTGTCCTTGTTTCGACAAGAAACTCGAACCGCAGAATATAAATTTTATTTTGTGCCCGAACTGCGTGAAACCCGATATTATATTATTATGTAAAAATATTTTTTATCTACTTCAATTTTAGATTCTGAACAGAGCAATGAATATATTGATTTTACAACAAAGTGTGTTTTT